CTTTGTACCCTACAGACCGTATTCTCCTTGCTGGTGACTGTAATATTCCCCCTAGCACGATTCTGGACAAACTCACGCCAGATGCGGCCTCTGAATCTATCCAGATGAGCAGAATCCTTTGATGTGATCTCTGGCGTTGGAAACACCCGGCTAGTAGGAGATATACATGTCACTCAGCTACTTATGTCACACTCACTCATATATTACTGCTAGGCTACCTACAATCCAGGAGGTCTCTATCCTTCCACGGATATCTCTGATCATGTTTCATTGCTTTTGCACTTTTCAGTGGCAGGAATTTCCCACAGGGAGATGACACTATGGCGGTTATCCAGGTACTGAATTGAGGAGGAAAGGTCAAACCTCAGCTCCTTGGTGAGATCTCTGACAACTAGAATCGCAATCTTGGGACAGCCTCCCCTGAAATAGTGTGGGATGCTTTCAAAGCCTTTAATAGAGGACAGTACCAGCTTCATATTTCCGCCGCCCATCATGACTCCCAGTCTGCTTTAATTGCTGTGGAGGCCCATGCCCAGGCACTTGAGGCCCAATCTTCATCTTCCCAAGATAGAACTATTCATCAAAGTATGGTGGTTGCTTTTATAGAGGTATCCCTTCTTCGAGTGGAGACCTCCCGTAAGATTCTTCTACATCAGTTCCAGTGGGTGTTTGATCAGGGGAACAAAACCGTTAGGCTTAGCATGGCTTTCCAAGGATCACACCCCTGTATATCATATATCAACTATTCAAGCTGAGGATGGTAGGTTGCTGACATATCCAGGTTTAATTAATGCTCACTTTGCCTCCTATTATAGTCAACTGTACTTTTTCTTGAGTGCATTACTCTTGAACAATTATGTCAATATCTGTAGGCCCTTGACTTCCCAGAACTTGTGCGAGTGCTAGAACCAAATTGGATGCCCCCATAAGGCTGGATGAGGTTAGGAGAGCCTTGACCGCTCTCCACATGGGAAAAACACCTGGGATAGATGGATTACCCACAGAATTCTAGAGAACCTATGCAAATGTACTTCCACATTGTTACAAAACTCTTAAATATGCGCTTGTTGAAAATGCTCTTCCATCTTCTATGTCGGAAGCCATAATAGTGGTGGTCCCTAAGCCGGGTGAGGACCCGTCCCCGATCTCACTCCTTAAAGTTGATGCCAAAGTACTGACTAAGGTATTAGCTAATCTTTTAAATACGGTAATTGGGGACCAATCTGGGTTTATGCCAGGTAAATGGACAGATATTAATCTTCGTCGCCTGTATATGGTTATGGCAGGAGCCGGCTCTGATGCTCACCCTAGGGTAATGGCCTCTTTTGATGTAGAAAAGGCCTTAGATTTTGCAGAATGGGAATATATATGGATGTTTCTGCAGAGATTCGGATTTGGGCCTAACTTTGTGACATGGGTTAAACTTCTCATCCTAGAGCTAGAGTGCGAACCAATGGACTGCTCTCGCCTTTCTTCCCCCTGTTTAGAGGTACAAGGCAAAGTTGCCCTCTGTCCCCAGGATTGTTTGCTTTAGCTTTTGAGCCCATGTCAATTCTTTTATGTAGCTCAGAGTCTGTACAGGGCATAGTTGTAGGCCCTGTTACCGAAAAAGTGTCTTTGTATGCTGATAATGCTCTACTGTTTTTAAAAGACACGGATCCTTCCTTAGAGGCAGCCCTATCTCTCATTGATTGGTTTGAAGAATTTTCTGGTATACGAGTAAATTGGGACATGTCAGTCTTGTTCCTGTTGACCCCAGCACTTTCCTACACATGATTTGGTCCTGCTCTAAACTACAATCCTACTAACAGGGTGTGTTGGTAGATATTAATACTATTCTAGATCTTCGTCTACCCTTAGACTTGCTCCTGCTGGTTATGGGAGGTCAGTTGGATGTTTCCTTCCATCAAAGGTGCTTCCTCTTTTATGCAGCATTCTATGTGTGAAAGCTTAGATTTAAGTGGAAGTCCTCTGAGCCACCCATGATTCAGCAGTGGAGAACTATGGTGAACCAGGTGCTTCCGCTGTACAAATTGATTTATATATATTGGCCTAAAAAAGTTAATAAGATCTGGGGTCCTTGGGTGGAGGCTAGGAACTTGTCGTTATGATGCTAAATGCCTATTCTCCTTCCTCTACCCTATTTCCTGAATGGTGTTACTAGCTCTGTGTGAACATCTTGTTTAAACAAGAACAATGGGTGCAATGTATTTGGGATCCATGCCTCTCTGCAAGTGGTGTTTTGCCCTTATTTCCACTGAACACTTTTTCTTAACTGTATGATATTGTTTTCTTGACTCTCCTCTCTCTCCGCTCACACCCTTCCCTGTCCTCTCTCTCTCCCCTCCTCCTTTCCCCTCCTCATTTATCCGAGGTTTGAATTGAGTGTTTGTTTTCCTTGCTGTGCACCTAAGTTTTTGTATGAGGTTATACAGATCCTTGTCATGGACTATTCTACTGTTTTAATTGCTGTATCAGAGAAGTATCTATGCCCACAATTGCATATGCTGCTGTTTATGTACCATATTACTTTTATGTACCTTTTGCCCTATGTACCGAGCAGACCTTTTTGAATTTTGTATTGTTTTCTACTTTTATGAAAAATTCAAATATAGCTGTTAAAAAAAAATGTGCAAGATTCAAGACCCTAATAAGTAGTTGTGCAAGATTTGACCCTCATTTTTCAAAATACAAAACATTGCAAACAAATGTCATTTTAAATTTAGATTGCACTGAAGTCAAAAGGCAACCATTATCAATGGTTGCTTTTGGCCCTTTAGAGGGCTCTTAGACAAGTTATTGTCACTGGATGACAATTGCTTGTCTAACAGTTCCCCAACAGCTGTGAGGGAGGTTTTCTAATACAAAAAATGAGAAAAAAAATGATATCAGGGGGACATTTCATATGGCTTCAAGGGCAACATGGGACATACACAAATCCTTTTAAACACAGATTTGTGAGGCATCAAGCTCTGTGATGCAACTACATGTGGTTTAGCATGCAGCCAGTGCCCAATTTGCTGATAGTATTGAAATAACTTATCTGCTGCCGACAGTTGATGCAGATCAGTTGATGCAGATCACAATGCTACTGTCAGTAGGTGAGAAAGTGCTGAGGCTTTTGGGATTTACCAATGCCCTCCTCCTGTGCTTGTGTGTCTGTGGTGCAAGATACTAATTGATGCTGACTCCTTGCCGGTGAGACAACCTCCTGCCTCTTCCATCACACCACTACTCTCCCACTTCCATCTGTCCCTCAGAGCTGTCCTTCTCTTCCCTCATGGCACCCAAGTATAGTCTCATCATTTTATAACTGGTTCTTCCTCACTGGAGTCCAAAGTGTCTGCATCTGCTTCCATGGCTGATGCTTTTGCATGGTTGCTGACCCCTGCCTGGAGTGTGACTTCTACAGGAACTCTGACAGGCACTGAGCTCCCCTTTCCTGCTCTGCTCAGCCTTCTATCTTCTGCCTTCTGCCACTTCCAATCCTTTCCCTGAGAACAAAGGCCAAAATCTTCTCATCACTATGATCATAATGCACTGCCGCCTCTTGCATCACCTCCTAAAACACGCCAGAAATAATGGCGATTATGTTGGTTTTTCTTAGCCAGTGTGAAGGAGCCTGGTGGGATTAGCAGAGGAGGGCCTATCATCAATGCTGGCTGAATATTGGCTACTTTGAGTCGGGGAGGAGGTAGATGATGCAGGCTAAAGGTATTTATGCCAAGACAATTGCTAAGCCAGTATAGGTCAGTCACTCTGACCAACAAATTGTAGACATGGCAGGCCTCAGTCGTGTGCAGCCCCACCATTGATTACATGCGCTGGACCAGCTTGAAAAAATGATTTTCCCCTACTACTACCATGCCCACTGCATATGCATTTAGGTCTTCTTCCCATTTTGTGTGTATACATCCCTTAATTTTATTTGTTGTGTTGGGGAATAGAGGGGCACAAAGAATGTGCAGTGATGGTGCATACACTGTTTTTTTTTTTTTTTTTTTTTTTTTTACAAGACTCTCCAAAAATACAAAAACACTAAACTATTACCCTAAAAGAAAAAACGCTATATTTTATACCTTCTTTTTTTTCTTTTTACTTTTTTCCTGCTGTGAAGCTGTTTACTAGAGTCAAAAGGGTGTGCAAAATATTAATAGAAGGCAAAAAAATATGATGAACATCATTTCAATTGACACTGACAACTTTTGGATTATAGAAATTTTGGTCAAACTTGTGTCTGGCCTGAATTTGACCTTTCTGACACTCATTTGCTTCATGTTTTTTTTTTCCTGGCTGTTTGACTCAGAAGCACAGAGAAGCCAGATAATTATCATTTTCAAAAAAGGTCAGTAATGGTAGTTCATATTTACCTCTCAATTAAAATTTAGTGGATTCTGCCAGTGCTATGTGCTGGAAATGGTGCTGTTGGCAAAAGTGGTAAAAATGTGAGCAGGCCCTTATAATGAATGAAAGATTGTCATTTTTATTTCACTTTTTTTAATGGAACTAGTACTGTGACTTTTGTGTGTAAAAATTGAATTTTCTTTTGAGGTAGATGGACTATAAGACTTGTAAATCCTCACTAGCAGAAAATTACATTTTCTATGGTCCTGGTCTCACTGGGGTTTATTTACTAAAGTTGGAGAGTGCAGAATTGGGTGCACTTCTGCATAGTAACCAATCAGCTTTCAGGTTTTATTGCCAAAGCTTAGTTGACCAAACTGAGGTTAGAAGCTGATTGCCTACGATGCACAGCTGCACCAGATTCTGAGTGAACCAATTTTAGTAAATCTACACCACTATTCTGCTAATTTTGGGCTCTAACATGACTTCTTTCTTTAAAATGCAGGATTATTCCCTTCTAAAATATTGATATTTAAATGCATCTATACCCAATAGTATAGGATAATATTACCATAATGATATGTAAAATGTACAAGTGTCTAGTGTCCAAATTAACATAGCCTTTCACTACTTATTCCATGTTTTTCTTATCTTAGGTTGTGTCAGGCGGCTGTGAGACTCGTGAAATCCCATTGCTAAGAAATGGTCTTGGGCAGCTTGGCTTCAACGCAGATTCAGGGGGGTTTGTAACTGAAGTAGAGAGATTTAGCATGGCTGAAACTGTAGGACTTTGTCCTGGGGCAAGGTTGGTAGCCATCTGTGGTCAACCATTTTGCTCATTGACCCCCGAGGATGTTCGTACACTGTTTATTCGTGCAAAGAAGGTAACTGTGACGACTCTGCCTTCAGATGAAGCTGGGAAGCCTCGCAGGTAATACGGCATACAAGCAAAGTGGTTAGTAGCATGGCTGCCAATCTGTTAAGTTGACTAAGATGTCTCTTGGTTTTATCTATAGGAGTTTCTCTGAGTTGTATGTGAGGTCTCTGCAAGAACAGAGAATCATGAGGCCATCAGAAGGAGACGCTGAAGAGAAGGAAGAAATTATTCCAAGAAAAACAGATTCTGCTCCAGCAGCTCAGAACATTCTTCGGACCCTCTCTGTACAGGAGGAAAGGACTGACTTTAGGTAGAATACTATTTTTATCACTGTTACACCATTGTGAATAGAAAATATTTAATATATGTGTCAGAGTATCTCAGGAAATGTATTTTTGATTTTTAATTTTAAAGAAAATCTTACTAACTTCGTATAATCAAGCGTTTTTTCTACAGTGAAGTTCCATCAAGCAGAAGGTAGGGTCAAAGTGTTTTTACTTTAATGATACATAAATAATCTTTTCTAGGTTCCCTTTGGAATGAGGAAAGAGAAGTAAAATGTATGCTGATATATGCAAAAGGTCTGATAACAGCATCAGGATACATAGATCCTAAAACCAGCTTGTGGGTGTCAGTGGGAGAAATAGTACCCTTTGTTGATCACAGTAACTGAAATGATCCCCATTGTTGATGTCAATAGGAGGAATAGTGTGTTGCAGCAGTAGGAGGAAAAGTGCTGTAAGAGCTAAATAAAGCAAGCAAAGGACTGCATCCAGCCCCCAGGCGGCAGTTTGGAGACCACTGTCCTAGAGCACACTGAATTGTGAAACACGACATATGAAACCTTGCATATTAAACTTCAATGCAGTTCCTATGTATAATTACCTCTTTAAAGGTGCATTGATGTGACAAGATAAACACATTTTTGGTTGTGTGCAAGTGTGTGTTTTTATTTTATCTTGTCATGATCCATAAATCTGTGATTTCTACCCTAGGCTTACCTTCACGTCACACAGCCTCTCCTTTCCAGCCCTTTGCACTCTCTTTGGTTGACTTTTACATTACTGAGAGCTTCAAATGTATTAACATGATGTTCATTGTAAGATGTACAAATAATAAAACACATACTTTTATTAGGTTCAGTAATGATGATTTGGCTCCTCCTGATATTATTCCTCAGCCAGACCCATCAAGAGATGAAGTGGTGAGTTTCTCATCTATTTTTTTCTCATTATTGTTCTATGAACTGAGTTACTAAAGTAAATGCATTTGTTACCAGTGTTTCCTTGAAATACATTGTCTTAGTGATGGTTGTGTAATGGATTGCTTCTTCCGATTTCCAGCTTCACTGAACTAAACTGTTTTTTTTATATGCCCTAGATTATGTATGACACTTTTGAGAAGTCCATAGATGAGGTGTTGGAAACAGATGTGGTTCTTCCAGAGGAGGAAAGCATTGCACCTGCATCTTCTCAGGAACATGTTACTAGCAGTAATATATGTTTATATATCATATCTTTTCTCAGTGAGAATACAAAATCTAATTAATTAGGCAGTGTACCACATGTCAAAAAGATCAGCAGATTCATCAATCTCTGCTTATACTTTTCGTTATCATACACTTAGTTTGAATTACTTAAATTAGATAAAAAGCCCTGATTGCACAGTATTGCAACCTGTTTTCCTCTTGGATATACATAAACAAGTGAATCTACTTAGATTAAATTGAAGTTCACTATATAGGCATAATTTGTTAGTTTCTTTTTGAATATAAAAAGGCCAAAGGCAACCATTCACATTGCAGGCTTTGACAGAAAAAGCAATTGTCCAGCTTGCAGACTTCATAGTAATTCTGGGACATTGGACTGAGGGATTCACTGCCTTGGATGCAGGGAGCGCTGGCATTTTTTTGTTTTGTTTTTGCTACAGATGTTTAATTTTGACATCTTAATGTCACCCAATATAAAACTGACATCCTGGAGTGTTAATTGTAAATGCACAAGGGTGTAGAATTTTGTGCTCCATAATTGCTCAGAACATGCTTTAGTGGGAAAGAGTACAAGGACTCTTAGTGAGCAAGCTTGTTTGAGGAAACACATACTAAACTGCAGTACCTTATAACTGCAGTGCTCATGATGTAGGCTGTAGTGACACCAAAGGACTGAGAGCCCAGCAGATAACACTCAAAGCTGGTGATTGTAGTTATTGGCATTAATCACATGACAAAGCAATGTTGCTTCCCTTTGTCCCTTATTGTTAAGGAGAAGAGACAGATGGTCAGCTACACTGTGATCAATCAAACCATAATTGACTGAAAGAAAGAAAAATGTCATCGCCATCTGACCTTCAAGGCACAAATTGCCCAATTTATGAAGCTGTTAAAGAGCTATTAGGATTTGTATTAGAAATCTGGTTTAGGCATTTGTATTAATCCTTCACAAAGATGAAGATTCAGCTAAGTACTTATTTTGTTATAATGTGGATTTCTTTTATTATAATAATTAATATTATACAGGATTTATATAGCACCAAGAGCGTGCACAGAGCTGTACAGTTACAATACAATAAAATACAAGTGGGTTAAGAGGGTCCTGCTCATAAGAACCTACAATCTATTGCTGTATTTAATTACAAATTGAGTGTAAACTGTATATTGTAGCTTCTAAATTGTTCTGACTTTTTGGTTAGCCCTAGTGTGATAAGGAGTACTAGGCCGAGTTCTTCTCAGTTATGGTGACCTATGGTGACCTTTGTACTACATTATTTATTTATTTCAGGTACTTATATAGCGCCGTCAATTTACGCAGCACTTTACATATATATTGTATATTCACATCAGTCCCTAACCCTCAAGGGGCGTACAATCTAAGGTCCCTAACTCACATCCATACATACACATATTAGGGCCAATTTAGACAGGAGCCAATTAACCTACCAGCACGTCTTTGGAGAGTGGGAGGAAACCGGAGTACCCAGAGGAAACCCACACAGGCACAGGGAGAACATGCAAACTCCAGGCAGGTGGTGCCGTGGTCGGGATTTGAACCAGCGACCCTAGTACTGCCAAGCTACATTACAAATTAGTGTAAGGTTCTGATGACAGTGTTGAACAATTAACACTTCAAAAGTAATCAGAAGAGAAAAACAGTAATTTTGGTTAATTCTATGTAATTTTGCAACTCTCTTGTATAGGCACTCATATAGATGAAAACATCACTGGGTTTCAATAGTGAGGGCAATGAAATATGGTTTAAACAACCGCACTCAATACCAACAAGGGAGGCTATATTAAAAATCTGGTGTAAGTGAATGCAGTGAGACTGTGGGAATATTAACAGGTAGAATCACAGTAAAGCTTTTATTGATTTCAGGAAGACTAGTCTGTTGCCAACATGTTTCAATGGACAATCTTCATTATGGATATAGAGTAAAAATGATTGTGCATTTATAAAGCTGCTGGGTGCAGTCAGCCCAGGTGGTGCTTGTGACGATCGTGGCGTCAGACCCCAGCCCTTCTCACTAAACTCGTGACCGAAGGACTAGCCAATCTAAAACCGCGCTGTCACGTGCATAACAATGCCACGCCCAGCTGCACCCAGCTAATGGACCACAACCTGTGTGCCGGCAGCCTGGGAGCGATTGTTACTGGGTTAGGTTAATTACGCCATTAACCCTTCACACTGCCACCATCTCCTTTTTGTACAGAGAAAGAGGAAACTCTGCAATATCAGCAATAACACTATGATGTTTGAATAATCGTCGGTATACCACTGTCACCGCAGGCAGAGATATACCGAAGTTTAAAACACACACACAGTAGCGCTCTTCAGAGGCAGGGGTGCTTAGTTTGCATTAAAGAGCTTTAGAAACAGTTCAACACTTTCAGAAAGTAAGATTTATTACTAAAAGGTCAAAAGGGTGCAATAAAAATATTTACAGAAAAATATGTAGCCTATATATATATATATATATATATATATATATATATATATATATATATAAAAATATACAGAGAACAATAGCACAGCAAAGAGATAACAGAAAGACGTTTAGAGGGATAAAGTACTTGCTGTCAGCCTTGGGTTAAGCAGATCAGGTTTCAGAGCCCAAAAGGGTCTAATCTCCCTTTTAATAGTTCCGCTATTAAAAGGGAGATTCTTCAACTTCAACTCAGCTTAACTTAACTTCAAGTATCACAGCCTTTATGTAGGAACTCAGCGGGGTGTCTCCCTGAAGCAGAGAACCAATCGCCTCATTTGGGCGGGTGTGGCAGGCGGAGACCCAAGCTATGACCGAAAATCCCTCCTAGCTTATATTATGGTTCATAACTTACCCTGGATACATATAACATTCTATCCACGAGTAGATTAATACGCAGAATCTTCTGCTGACCTTCTAAATATGAAATATGAGATACCTGCTTGAATGGTTAAGGAGATATAATTTTCTGCTCTCCTGTATATGCCAGCTAGGGGGTGTAATATACCAGGCGACTTGTCTTAAAGTGAGCCATCCGAATATGTGCTCCATGTTTATGTAATTATGTCCTATTTGAAGATATAAAATTATAGGGAAAAGTGAGTTTTTAAATGTAAGTCTGTTTTTACGACTACCTGGAATGTCTTTGAAGCTCCCTGAGAGCTGGTTTATGGTTTTACGATCCCTTCTCCAGCAAGAGTCTCGCAGACATAGGGGCACCAGCTAGTAAGGTCTATAGCCATGACGCCCTCCATATGAGCTTGCTGCCTGTGATCTCTGTCATCATCCAGACCACATGTCACTCAACAGAGAGGAAAGGTGGATATCAGAGGAATCTGATTTGGGAGAGAGAGATACAAAATGGAGGGGTTTGGAGCAAAATGGATGACCGCCTCCATCTCTGTGTGCATCATTGCTACAGTGCTGAATGCCTGTTTTTAATATCCTATGTTATTACACTTTTAGTGTAAAAACCTGTTTATTAATACTGTCTGTGTCCCTGTTGGGGAGTTTTACCATCCTGTCTATTCCAGTGCCAGTTACCAAGAAAGAAAGTGAAGTTCCCAAAGAAAGTTCAAGAAAGTTCCCGAAAATAACACATTGCTTAGGGCCAGGTTCCCTTAAAGTGTTACTAAACCTACAACAGTAAAATCAGTCTGTATATGCAGTAAAACATGCTTGTTTTACTCATGGTGGAACCTAAAGGGTTAATCCGCTGCATTGTGTAAAAACACTGTTTGATCCTGTCTTCTCTGATCCTCCCCTTCTGCCAGTGCAGCTCTCTTATCTCTTGATCAGACATATTGGAGTCACTCTGCACATGCTCAGTTTGATG